CTTACAAGGCAAAAGAGTCCTTAGTCTCTTGTAACTATACATGTTATGGGATAATTTTCAGATTCTAATTAAAGTAATTTTACTTTTAATCTGTAAGTGAATACAGAGTGGCAATTGAAAGTTTTTCACTCAGAAAAATATTCCACACAGTGGTGAACTACCCAAGCCAATTCTGTTTTCTCAACTATTATTTCATAATAAATCTAGATGACTTACTATTACTGAACATTTAACCAGTGCCTCCAGCTCAAATACATCAGCTAATTTTCCAAGAAATTATATATTTCAACCCTCATTGAAAATGTGTAGTACCTAGAGAGACATCTTTTCATCATTTAAAAAATTCTACTGCAGAAACAAGCTCTCTTGCTTTTCCTTACCTCTTTTTAAAAATCCTAAATAAAAGTATTCTTATGAACATTGTATTAGATATATAAATCTATGTTTTAAAAGCATTGAACATTTTAATATTTATTAAAATCCGGTGTCTGCATTAAGTACAAAGATACCCTGCTTACAGTCAAACTTGGCAGTTCAGATGAAATTACTAAAATAAACAAGTCTTAGGTTTCTGTGTGTGTATATATGTGTATCTTTATCTTTCCTAGACAAATCTAAAAGGGGGAGGCGGGTAGAATGAAAAGGAAAGAAGCACCTTTTTTCTTTTATTTTACTCCCCTTGTGACTGAATAAAAACCCTAAGGAAAAAAAAGCTGTGTGTTAGCTTTGAGACAGGAAAGTAGAGGAGAAAGCTCTGAGGCTGTTCTCAGTTCCACAAAAGTAACCGGGAGCAACAAGATAAAGCACAAAAGATGAGCAGAATAAGTAAGTACCCACCAAAAGGTGTCCTCTAGCTCAATTCTCAGTGCTCCTCAAGGCAGTACTCCTCAACTCCAACCTTTTCACTCTCCATCCAGAATCATGATCTGAGGCAAAGCAGTATTCTCACAAAGCCTGCTTGCCTGCCTCTGGATAATAACAAGTAAGTGTCAGGCACAGTACCAAATGGATTATCTTTTTTCATCCTCACAGCAACCTGAGGGACTGAGGCTACGCAAGGCTGAGTTAACTCATCCAAGGTCACAAGCCTGGTAAGTGGTAGAGTCTGACCAGAACCCAGAATCTCTATTCTGTTAACCATTATACTATACAGCCTCCTCTCTTGCGGATTCCAAAATCTCACTAATATTTGTTAGCGCCAAGATGAGAACAATATGGAGGGAATTGCTCAAATTTGTAATATGTAAGTAGTAAGTGTTAATTAATATACATAAAACGGAAGCAGAAAGAGCCCAAAGGCTTTGCTCTAGATGGTACTTTAGTACCAAGTATCAAAATAAGGTAAATTTTTTTCTTTTTTTAACTTCAGGGATGTGAGAGCTCTAGCAGCTTACTATCCAAAAGCATGGTCCACCAGACAGCAGCATCTACACTGGGTGCAGAATTTCAGGTCCCCAACCCACACCTATAGAATCTGCATTTTAACAAAATTTCCAGGGAATTCATATGCACATTAAATTTGAAAAGCACTGCTCTATAACAGTGAACCACATTTTGAGTGGCAAAGGTTTAGCAAATGGCCTTCTCAAAAAATAAACACAACATCTCTTGGGAACCACTGGTCTAGAAATGTAGGACTTTCAAATCAACACAACATTATTTTCTGCTGAATTTGTAGTTCTCAAAGTTTTCCAGCCACCAGCAACTCCAATGTTCCATGGCATTCTTCCAGAAAAAGAAAAAAAAAGCAACTGCACTTGCTTTCTAGCACTACAATAGCAGGATCTCTCAGGAAGAGATTTAAAACTAGAAGACTGTCAAAAACTACATACCTATTGCTACTCATCTTTAAGAGGGCCAATACAGAAAAAAATTGTTGGAAAAATTCATAAAGATTATGTAATTCATAAAGATAAGAAATCAGAGTTACAAATACTTGAGAAAAGTAGATGGGAATCAAGTCATAGTGTCAACTTCACTTTAAGATGGTTAAATCATACCAAACTAATTAATACTACCTTAAAATAATTGTCTCAAATTTTAGACAAAATACTAAGTTATAAGTCTAAAGTTTTTTCTTTCACAGACCATGTAGCAGGAGAAGTGGAGTCAAAGTAGGCTATTTTTTTAAAGCAATAAAAGGTGCTTTTGAATTTGTTCATGAAAACTATATGCTAATTAAAACTTATTTATAAAGATTTATAATGATGTATAGTTGGCAAACAGATTAAAATTCCTTTGTAATCTTAAGGCTTGCAGAAACTTGATAATTTTTACTATGTGTAATGACTTTAGATTTCTTAAATAACTATCTCAATTAGGAACAAATGGCTAATCTGTAAACACTACATACTTAACTATATCAAATCCTTTGACATTATAAACTATCAAAAGTTCTTAGTAAGAGCCAGAAATCAAAACAGAATATCATTTGTGTTTCCATTTGTCAATCTCAAAAATTTTCAAAATACCTGTATAAAGTATCTCCATTTCATTGAATAATTATTCTGTATTACAAATTCTAAATATAACTTTATTTTGACAGAAAATATCTTATGAATAATATTGTACTGAAAAATGTGATATAAATATTTTAGGATATTTAACATCTTTACATAAACAAGAATGTACTGCTACATCTAGACCGCTCCAAATAAGTTTTGCAGAAAATATGAGTTAAAAGTAGAATCCAAGTAACATCAATTTGAAGTAAATATTTAAAGGTAAACGTTTAAAACGGATACAGCAATTACTTTTTAAAATGTCTTAAAACCTAGCCTAAGATTCTCCCATCTTCTCCGAAACTGTGAGGAAGTTACTTCCCACCCCTATGCCTTGTCGAAATTCACCCATATCCTCAATCCAAGCAATTTAATAGAATTAATTGGATCAGACCTTTAAAGAACTCTAGAGTCTGTGATCTTACATAAATAGGAGCTTTTTTCAAACTAATGACACCTTGAGTTTGAATCCATATACAGGTACCAACTGAGTGTTCTTCGGCAAGCTGCTTAATCCCTCTGTTATTTTTATTGCTGCTGTTGTTAAATGACAGCAAATCTCCATTTTGGGGGCTATAAAAATTTTATGAGAACCACCTAAAGTATCCAGAATGGTCTTAATCAGAACAACTAAACCTCATGAAAAATAATTTTTTAAAAAGCTCTTGAAATCTATACTAGATATGTAAATACTACACAAAGTATTTTCATCTCTCCTGAAAGAGGAATTCGTGATTTAAAAGAAAGTAACAACTGAGAGTTGTTTAAACCAGAGATTACGGTAGCTTTGGCTTAGATTTCTCATAAAATATCTAAAATACTATCATATAATAATTGTTTCATTTTAATTTCTTTTAAAGTTAGCAGTTTCATTTAGTTAATTGCTTAATGGAAAAATCAACTTCATTCTTAAAACAACTATATTTATTACTTTTAAAACCCTTGAATGTTTACTACTGAGGGCATTAAAAACCATCAGATGGTAAATGTTTTAGCTCTGTGACAAAAGGTTCAAAAATATTTGATGATTTTTTTTGTTATGGCTGAAATTCAACTATGGTACCAAGAATTAAAACTAAGCCAAAATCAGGGGAGGTAAAAATACTGTGGTAATAAAATATAATAAATAATTACAAATTACTCTTGGAAATGCACGTTTAATATGAACTTGGTATAAAGTACACCTCTCTTAACAAAGAATTTACATTCTACTATCCTTTTGTTCCAGTGAAATGGAATATTTAACCTTGAGAATAAAATTTGACAGGTATGTATTAGGGCTTTATAGATAGAAAAAAAACTGCAAGCTGGCACACACTTTGAATGAATCATTTGATTTGTCTTCATTGTTTGGTTAAGTTTTCTGAACTTTGTTTCCCCCCACTGCTGTGTTTATTGGTTAAACAAAGTTAATGTGTATAAATCCAGTCCTGTAAGATTTGTAATTACTACCAGAGAAACTGCCACATACTGTGAATGCCTTTTACATTTCAGAATTTAATGTTTTCAGAAGTATTCCTGAGTTATGTCTTTATGCTCGCTACAAATTTTTATATGTAAGAGTATATGTTGTTTTGGCTCACTTTGACGATATTGTACTCCTTTTGGGAAAGATATTTTGATATTTACAACATAATTGACAGGTTTCTAGAATTGATAACCTAAGCTTTCAGTGAGAGTTAAAAATCATGCACATACAAAGTAGGGAGCATAATCCTATTATAAGGATCCATATACTTTAAAAAAAAACTAATTTACTTCTCATATAAATGGGGTTTAAGTTTGCAAATGACTGCTCTTTTTAAAACAAAATACCTAAAGAACATTTTTCTTTTGATTAAAATGCTAGTATCCTTGATTTTTCACACAATGAAGATTACTTACTTTGTTGGGGTTTCTTTGGTGGGGGGAGCCAGGTGGAGAGATGGTGTATGTGAAATACTACCTGACTAAAAAAATTCTACTTATGGTAGGATTTTTTTTTTTGTTTGGGTTTTTGGTTGTGTGTATGTATGCATGTGTGTGCGTGCCTGGGAGAGACAAAAAAAAAGTTGTAATGAGTAAAATGACAGTTTATGAAGCCTATAAAATCTACCTTGAATCAAATTCAAGTTCACAAACTCCACGAAAGTCTACGGATTTGCCTAGAGCTACAAAGAATAAAAACCAAGACAGTACCGCCCATCTGTAAATGTACTAAAAGTGTGTTAAACTTAACCTTTACTCATTTAGATAATCCTTAGGGAACAGGCACACCGGTTCTTCAAGAATAAAACACAAAACCCCCGAATTATTCATGCCACTGTCTGATTTAAAAAAAAAAAAAGCAAACCAAGTAAATGCATTTTATTAAGTAACCTCGAAATTAAGCTGCCACTTACTTTGGTCCGGTATCGTACCTGTCTGCAAAAACATACCTTATTCTTGGCTCTGAAGACAAGCCCAGTTGGTAAACAGTAAGGCTCGCGGTGCAAGCATTTTGATCGCAAAGTATCCTACCTGTTAGCCTAATGCTTTGGTCTGGAGACACCGACAGGACACGGTTTTCACGCACTTTCAAAGCGCCCAGATTTGGGGAGGCGGCCTGCGTTCCCGTGATTATGGGGGCCGTCCCACGGGCACGACCCTTCATTCCCAGGGACAGCAGACGCCCTTTGTACATCCACTTCTGCAGCTTCTTGACTGTCACTGCAGGCGGCCGGAGGAAGGAGGGACCTTCCTGGAGGTCTCCTTTTCCGCTGCCTATCACAGAGGACCCCGCTGGATTCCTGAAAGGGCTTCCCGAGGAGCAGCCGTGGTCCTTGGAGCCTGGAGGCTGGAGGCCGGTGGATGCAGCCGCCTGGGCGCGGTCCCCGCTCCAGCAGTCCATCCCACCTCCACGTGGCGGGGACTCGTCCCAGTCCCCGTGCGCGTCGCACCTGATCCAGCTGTCGCTCGGCCACCGCTGGAAGGGAGGCGGCGTGGCACCCACCCGGAGGCTCTCGAGGCTTCTGCTGCAGGACAGCCGCATCCAAGGAGACCGCAGCTGGCCTCCCCCCGACTCCCTCTGAGGCGACCGGGGCGGGGACACCTGCTGCAGAGGGCGTCTGCCGCCTCCCCGCTCCCAGTCTCGGGGGCAGGCTCGGCGGTCCGCGGCGCCGCGGGAAGGCGGCTGGCCCGGAGCCCGGGCTCCCGCGGGGAAGCCGTGATCCGCCAAGCCCCCGCCGCCCCGCCGCGCGCCAGAGTCAGGGGGCAGGTCGTGCATGGCCTGGATCAGCAGATAATAGGCCTCTCGCAACTGGGTCCGCAGCCTGCCTGTCTCCAGGCGGCCGCCCTCCGCCCCCGGGGAGGAGCCCGCCGCTGGGGGAGGCGGGGGACGCCGTTCCGCCTCCGCCCCCTCAGGCTCTGGCACAGGCTGAGAGCCGCCGGGCAGGTTTTCGTAGTAGTCGGCGTCGCAGTCGTCTTCGTCCTCGTCCTCTCCGCTGCCCTCGGAGCCCTCCGGGGCGTGCAGAGAGACGCGAGCGAGCCCGTGGCTCCAGGGGACGGACTCCTGCCCGCCGCGCGGCCTTGACCCGAGCGCCCCCGACTGCTCCGGGTGGCCCACGGGGACTCGCGCCCCGGGACGCCACGCCTCAGGTGACGGCGGGGGCTGCTGTAGGCTCGGCGCGGCTCCCGCGGCGTGCTCACGTGGGGGGCTATCGGCGGCACCCCAGGCGTCTCCCGCGGCTGCCGAAGAGGCCGCCACCGCCGCTGCGGCTGCCGCTCGGAGCCCGAGCCCCCCGGCGCCGCGGGGACCCCGCCTTCCCCGGAGCCTGGAGAGCGTCCTCCTGAGAGGGTCCGCCATCCCTTCTGCCTTAGCCGCGAGGCTCGCCCCCACCGTGGGAGAGGTCGGAGCTCCGCTGCGGAGAAAACCGCGCTCGCAGAGGCGGCGGCGGCTCCCCATGACCAGCGCCGGCCCTCGCCGGCTCCTCACATACTTGGCATAACTCTGCCGCGGGAAGGCGTGGGGGAGGGCGGTGGCGCCGCAACGCGCATGCCCCGGAGCCCTGGGCCGCGACGGGGCGCGCGGGCCGCGGGCGGCAGAGGTGGGTTCCTGGGGTGGGCGAGCGGCGCAGGTGGAGGCGGAGGCCGCGGGAGGGGAGGTGGGTAGCAGGTCGGCTGAAGCTGACCGACGGAAGCCGGGGTGGGAGCGCAGAGCGCGGAGGGTGCGGGGAGAGTTGAGGCAGAGGAAAGTAGAACCAGCGGGAACGTGAGCCTGGGCCGGCGGCAGCAAAGTTTTGGTTAGAGCCCGAGAAAGGGAAAGTGCCCTCCCGGCTGTCACCCCAGCACCTTCACCGCCACAGCTGCACAAGGTATGTCTTAGGCAAAGCAAGTCCTAGCTTCAGAGAAAACAGTGTTTTGACGGACAAAGTATAAGTGCAGGTGATCTCAATGCATGTGTTCTGGAAATGTTTCAATCATTTTAATTGCCCAGAGAGCTAGCTATTTAAAGGAAATTTGCAGCGTTTTCTTTTCTGTAAGAGAGCCCTTTTATCCAAAAAATAATCACCGATCTCTCTCTCTCTCTCTCTCTCCCCCCCGTCCCTCCGTGTCTCTCCCCCCCACCCGCGTCTCTCTCTCTCTCTCTCTCTCTCTCTCTCTCTCTCTCTCTGTGTGTGTGTGTGTGTGTGTGTGTCTCTTCTCTCTCTCTTTGAGACGCAGTCTTGTTCTTTCGCCAGGCTGGAGTGCAGTGGCAGAATCTTGGCTCACTGCAACCTCTGTCTCCCGGATTCAAGCGATTCCCCCGCCTCAGCCTCCTGAGTAGCTGGGACTACAGGCGCGCGCCACCAGGCCTGGCTAATTTTTTGTGTTTTAGTAGAGACGGGGTTTCACCATGGCCAGGATGGTCTCTTTCTTGTGACGTCAGCATCCGCCCTCCTCGGCCTCCCAAAGTGCTGGGATTACAGGCATGAGCCACCGCGCCCGGCCCCACCAATATCTCTTTTAAGTGTTTTTCCTTATTTCAATTAATGCATGCTAACATAATTCTCACATCAGCCAAAACTTATAAAATGGAGCCCCTAATGTAGTGTGCCCCATCACTCTACCTACAAGACTGTCATACAGGTTTGCAGCTTTCTAATATAAAAGAGTTAACACTTCATTTTAATTTAAATAGTGGGAAGCAATTGAATTGAAATTGAGACACACTGTAATCTGGAAATACCGGCTGTCTCCCAAAAAACATTAAGTTCTATGTTCTGGGTAGCAGTTGCAAACTAAAGTACCCCTAGTTACCAGAGATTAATTGATCTATCAGTGACTGATAAGAATCACTCTCACTACCATCCCTGATTTCAGTTACTTTTTTAGTGTTTGCATAGTAGAAAGGGCCTTTTTCTGACTTACTCATAAATGTACTAACACCTAGCACAGTACCTGCAATTAGTAGATCCTCAAATACTTAAGAAATATTTGTTGAAAAAAATAAATGCCTGCATTACTGAATAGAATAAAATAATTTTTCCCTAATTCACCTTATTTCCCACTACTGTGTATTTTCCTATGTCCGTTGTTTTGTTGTTGTTGTTGTTGTCCAAAGGCTTCAATCTCTGAATGTGCTTTGACTGTACTACTATTATTAGTACCTAGTCTCTGCTTCCTGGAATAATTGTACCTGCATCTGAGATTTGCAAATAAGAGATTTGCAGAAATCTTACTGCTCTCAAAAACTCTGCTGTAGGCGAGGGGCAGGGGCTCATGCCTGTAGTCTCAGCGCTTTGAGAGGCGGAGGTGGGCAGATTGCTTGAGCCCAGGAGTTAGAAACCAGCCTAGGCAACAGGGAGCAACCAGTTCTCTATGAAAAAAAAAAACAAAACCACAAAAAATTGGCCGGGTGTGGTGGTGTGCACCTGTGGTCCTAGCTACTCAAGAGGCCTAGGTGGGAGGATCACTTGAGCCTGGGAGATTGAAGCTGCAGTGAACCAAGATCATGCCACTGCATTCCAACCTAGACGACTGAGGGAGACTCTGTCTCAAAAAAATAAAAATAAAATAATAAAACTCAGCTCAACCACCTTCTTCTCTATGAAGTCATCTCTAATCTCCCAGACAGGATCTCAGGTTCTTCTAAACTTAAGTAGTACTTTATTCCCACCCACTCATAGTATACTTACTGTTTTTTGTTTTATACAATTTGTATACATGCCCTTGCTCCTTTACAAGAAAACTCATTAACTCCCTAAGGGCAGAAACTGTTTATAATTGACCTTTATATTCTCCAGAGGAGTATACTATATATTGTACATGATAAACATTTTTGAATTAGTATCAATTTTAATTTAGAGAGGAAAAATGGCTTTAATTCCAGTCTATTGCCTAACTCTCCACTAGACCATACTATATTAGTGTTGTTTTAAAACTCTTTCAGCAATGAGTAAGAAAGTTTGTTAAATAGTCTTCATTCGTATCTAAGAAATTCGATGAAATGTGATAAAATGTTACACTATGATTTGCATATATTAATATTTATAGTTCTACAATATTTTCATTCCATGGGCCCAAGGCTATTTAATGAATAGTCAAGGCATAAAACTATGTCCCAATGAAATATTCCCACAGGAAATGACTGATAGCAAAGTTGCCAATCATGGTTCTATAAACACAATCTGATCTTTATCTCAGAAATTGTTTCCATTCCAACTCTGTTGCAAAATCTTTTTATTTTTGTAGTTAACATAGTCGTTAAGGGCACTATAAGCTGCATATGTATCTATATGCAGATAAATATATGTGAGTAGAAAAATATAACCTTGAAGATCTTGATTGAACTTCATCCTGAACTCTGTTTATCCACTTGTTTAGGAGTTATAAAACATTGGTTATTGGCCAATATAAAATACTATGCATTATTCTAGGCATTACTCAGAACTAAGTTTGATGCAGCATACCACAACTAAACTTAATGCTACTTTAAAGTTGAGAATGTTCTAACACATGAATTCACAATTTTATCATATTTTGTGTCACGACAGAAACTAACAAGGCAGTCATGGCCATATGACACTATTTAAGGACCTTAATAATGTAAATTCCACTTTATGTACATTACACATCAATAAAAAGTTGGTAAAAATGTAATTCTAAAGAGACAGTGCCCACAAAACTTATATTATGCATAATATAATTAAGGTAATGACAAGATGTGAACATAAACTATACTTTGTAAAATCTTTTTTAACAATTTGTTTCTTATTCTCCCACTTATCTCAATTTTTATATCTTTCTAATCCATAGATTCCCATGAAAATTAGGGGATGGGAGTCATTTTTCAGTGTTTACACTTGTTTCTCAGTGACTTGGAAATCATTTTGATGCCCCATGAATTAACAACTATGTGTTGGCGCTGTCACAAAAGATATAACAACTGTGGGATAAAAGGGCTCCAGTAAGGCAGGGAGCCAAACTAGGGATGGAGTAGCACTGACTCAATCTGAGAGAAACGGGGAAAAAAGCAGGGCAAGTTGAGGCAGAGGGCTACATTTAACAGTAATAGAAGGGAAATGTTTAGGTATATTATGGTTATTTTCTAGTCAATTTAGATTGCATTTCTGCCTCGCTGGTGTTCAGTCTTCCATTATACTCTTAGTGGAACTGAAGACAAATTTAGCTCTACCATTTGTCTAGTACTCTTTCCCTAAACTCCCTTACAGGGATCCCCTGGAGTAGACCTTCCTGGTCTGCCATGCAACTCCATTAGTATGGAGTAAAATGTACTTTAGCCTAAAGTTGACCACACTAACACTGCACTGAGAATCAACGATGGCATGTTCTCAGTACAGCAATTTTTACTGTTTCATAATTAATAATATCTGGCAATTTGCAATATTCCTTAACTCATCCCCACCCCCAACCAAAAACAATGAGAAAGATAGGCTGGGTATGGTGGCTCACACCTGTAATCCCAGCACTTTGGGAGGCTGAGGCAGACAGATCGCTTGAAGCCAGGAGTTCAAGACCAGCCTGGCCAACATGGAAACCCTATCTCTACTAAAAATACAAAAATTAGTTGGGCGTGGTGGCTCATGCCTGTAATCCCAGCTGCTTAGGAGACTAAGGCACGAGAATCCTTTGAGTCCAGGAGACGGAGTTTGCAGTGAGCCAAGATGGTGCCACTGCACTGTAGCCTGGGTGATAGAGCAACATTTTGTCTCAAAATACAAACAAAAACCAAGTAGGAAAAAAGAGACTTTTGTTAAATGCACAAGCATTTTCTGATGTTTTAGAAATGTATGCTTTAGAATATTCACTGATATTCCAAATTCTTTTATTATATTAATATATTTGGGATATATAGAGTAAAGCTTATCAAGATAAGTAAAGAGGATTTCAAATCCCATCTGTCTGATTCCATAGACACTACACTCCATATTTCCTTGCATAGAAAAAGAGACTAGACAGATGATGTAATAATGCTTGCATTGGATTGAATCTTTGTTGTTATAAATTATTTAGTTGGTCACCTTTCAAAAAAGAGTTTAATAGTTTATGAGCTTTTGTGAAATGCAGCTGAACATTGGGAAGCTGCTTGTTAAACATTTGAATGCTTCTCAGTACAGTCCAACTCAAGGGTGTTAGAACGAAATCCTATATTCCCATTTAATGATAAATCTATTCATATTAAACCACAATGCAAAAGTGCATCCTGAAATGTAGTCTGGTTTTAAACGTAGGACAAACTACAATTGAATACATTAAAGACAAAATATACACATCCCCTTACAACCACAGAAGCACTCACATAAGCCTGTTTCAAAAGTAAATAGGAGGTGAGAAAAGGGAAAGTGTAGGCTGCCTTTCCTATATGACCTCATTGGACTTCAGGGTAACAGATCACTTCATGAAAGAAAGTTGCTCTGTTTCCAAGTTGTCAATCTAATAAATGAAGAAAAATTGATACAATGTCGCCATTCAGAAATAATGGATCTAAGCAAAAATCACCAGTGGCTTCTAACGTCACAGAAACAGACAACCTGACGTACAACCTCTGATCAAGTATATACCACCACCTCTGATCAAGTATATACCACATTTTATTCATGTTAGA